CTAGTTACCAGATGGACTAAAGCTTTCTATTTCACCTTTGGACCTTTATTCCAGGGGTTCCTGGAGTTCTTTCCCTTGTTCGCAGATTTCACATATGCCAAAACACCCTTACATAATCTCCTTCAAGACAACTTTTCTGAAAATGTTTTTTCTACTAATCTTGGAAGAATTTTACAATGTTCTGAGACCAGAACTTCCAGAGGTAATCAATCCAATTAAATAGAGAGGGAGGACAGGTATTGAATTTTACAACTCTTCTTATGCTGCAGCAAGACTACTGCTGGCAGTAGAAGCAGATGTATCACAATTTCCATAATTAGACCCCTAGTTATGGGGAAGACAGATACTTACTTTAGGTGCTCCATCCTTCTGAATGCCTACATCATTAGTTGCTATCCCTTTCACGCTACCATCTTCATGAAAAAGTACCTTTGGAAATATTGAAACAAACAAAAAACATTGTAATGAAACTGTACTTTGAATCTATTCATTGAAAGTTCTAAAGCAGAACTTCTAAGCACTATGACTTATAATGGCCAAACTATGACTTCTTTAATGATCAAACATGAAGATTATGTATTTGTTCACATACTGTATAACCCATTTCCACTTTGCTAGATCTAAGCCAGGGAATTTAGACAGAGAAACACAGTTTTCACAATATATATCAGTTAAAAGGAATGTTGCACCGGTACATCATCATGACTGCACTGAAGGGGGCTCTAAGGCCACTTTTCATAAACACACACTGATGTCATTAGTACCTCAGCTGCTGCATAGCCTGGATATATCTCAACACCCAAAGCTTCTGCTTGTTCACCCAGCCAACTCACAAGGTGGCCCAGACGTACTATGTAATTTCCATGATTAACCATTGGAAGTCCTAGGCAAAAAAACACACACACACACACATATAAAATTACTAAGCAAAACACCCAAAGCAGATATTACAGCTACTATCTTCAAGGTAATTTCATGTGTTATTGGAACCATCACCTACGCAGAGTGTATCACTGTAACCTATTACATTCTACATATACTTGCTGCACTATACCAAATCAAATTTGTTTTGATTCATGAAGAAGTTCAAAAAGACACAGAGGAAGCTGACTCTCTTCTCCCACACTAAACTTTACCTGGAAGAATTGGCACTGGAATTCTAGATGTCTCTGTTAAAATTCCAAATTTGTCTTCAGTTACAGGAGTATTAAGTGGAGCCTACAAAAAATAGAAGTAGAGAGTTATGTTTTCTTAGCCAATCCAACAGAAACAACAAAATCAAATTATCAAACTGGCAGTCAAGTACAGATTTAGTAAAGCACTTCTATAGGAAAGTATCACAAAAGAGAAGATAAAGTACTTTATGAAGTAGTCATGAAGCAAGAGCCAACACAACCACTGAGGTTAAAAAAAAAAAATACGGCTTTGCAAATAACATCTATTGTACACAGGCTTGTACTACATCAATATTCTAGACCTTTTTAAGGAAGACAGCTCAACTTGCAGATTTATCACCATAAGGCAAACCAAAGAATTGACAGCTGACTTTTCAGCTCTCAGGTGATAGCAGGCAGCTGGCTACAAGTCCGATAGCTCCCTCCTAGGATGATTTTTCATCCTAGGCCTTCGTTACACCACAGTGCTTGCACAGAAGTCAGTGTACTCTGTGCCATCTCTATAAAAAGCTATTGTACAGATCCAGTGAGTCTGTCATTGGTAAGGACCAAACGTCTTCCTGCTTGTACACAAGAGCTGGATTTTGCACAAAGGCAGCAAGTGCAGGGCACCCCAGGCCGCACCAGACATATTGTGTATATGCAGTAGGGCTACTACAGAAAAGAGCAAAGCATATCTGTGTAGACAGAAAACTTTTAGCATTGTTGAACTACAGAAAACAGATTAAAAAGAAGGTACCCATTTTTGTTTTGTTCCATTAATGTACTTAAAATGGTACTAACTACTAATGGTACCTGGTACTAACTCATACCAGAATGAGTCAGATACGAAGCTCATTACACTCTAATAACAAACTTCGGTGTTTACATGCTCATACATACCCCTCTCTCTTTCCAGTCTGGAAAGAGCTCTTCTAAGGACCTTGGCTCGAGACAAGCACCAGACAACGTATGTGCACCAATCTGAGAAGCCTTTTCCACCAGACAAACACGCACTTCCTTGCTGTGCTCAGCAGCCAACTGTTTGAGTCGAATGGCTGCAGAAAGGCCTGCAGGGCCTGCTCCAACAATGACAACATCAGCTTCTTCAGCAAATCTTTCCATGTTTACCCCTTCAATAGAAAAGAAATTATAACATAATCCAATCTCCAATTTCTTCCAGCCTCTCTCTCACTAAACCTAAACCCTCACAGTAAGAACAACTGAAAAACCCAAGCAAATACATACTGAAGAAAACTAAATCTTCTTGTGATAATCACTAAATCAAAGCTGCTTGTACATTTTCTTTAGGAAAACAAGCACAGTTTCTTCTGATAGCACCAAAGACACTCATTGTGAGATAGCAAGCAAAAATTCCATTTGAAATATTAATACTACTGTATTTAAACATAGAGAATTTCCATAAAGAGAAAAAAAACAGCAACACATTTTAGTGTCTTTAAAACTCAGCAATGACAATAAGAATAATAATAAAGCAGCTTTTAAAGAATGCAATGTTTTTACCTTCCCATCGCTTGTCTTTGTCCCGAGGATGAATTGTGTAATGTGTAGTTATGCGAGGCACAGAGGCAGTAGAGGCACATCGTGAGACACGCGGTGATAGAAGGCAATCTTTCTTTATCAACTTTAGAGCATGAAAGCACTGACGTGCTGCAAAAACCAGAAACAACTTTGTCAAATCAGTAGTTTTCCAAATTTCTTGAAATATCAGAGACACAAGTAGCATAATAAATATGACTGCTTCCCCCTCCCAAAGGCTACCAGGTGATATGAAGATGAGGAACAATAAACACAGATTTTTTTAATTTTCAAGTTAAGAGAATGCTGTGTAGTTTTTTATCAGGGAAAAAAAAAAAGCTTCCCCTTTAAGCATTCAGTACACAGGCCAGCCATGCACAGCTGACATAGGATAATATGTGTATACACAGATGAAACATACTTTAAATTCTGATTTAATTTTAAACTTGAAAAGGTGTATTTCAGACTGCATTAAAAGTGACCAAACAATGGTAGAAACAGGCCATGCAAGTTTAGCTCTGACATCTCAACACATATTGAGACACACAGCTTGGGCTACTAAAACAAGACAGTTCATCTCAAGTACATGCCATGGTCTGCAGTAAAAGCACAGACTCGAACACAAGTGTGCTTAGCCAAAGCTAGGAACAGCAGATAGAAAACCTTTACCTTTGCTGCAGATAAAGTAATTGCTGGGACAACAAATCATAATTTCTTTGTAAGCAAATGGATGAAAATAAAGTTTCAAATTATCAAACCAGGACTCTTTTCAGAGGGCTATTACACGTCATCATTTTCCTCTTTTAGAAAGAAATAATAAATGCGTGTGATTTGTAATAAAAAACCCTAGTATGGTTAGTATGAAAACTAGTTATAGTTAAAAGACCTGTGAACTAATGCACCTTGACTAGTAATTTTCCTTCCCTAAAAAATTCTCTATTTTCAGGGAAGAAGAAGAATAATAACATCATATTTAAAGTGGAACATTTCTGTACAACTACATAAGTAAAATCACCAGCATGCATGACTGAAATGTTTAGCTGACAATGGCAATCAACAAGGCCAGCACAAGCATCCTGTGCCATAACCCTGCCTAGTGACAGGACAGAGGTCTATATACGCAAGGTAGCAAGTATAATCCATGTGGATTCCTTAACAGGAATTCTGTACCTAACCAACATTATTATAATACCACCTCATAATTCCTAGTTACCTTTCACCTGCAACCAGACAGGATCTGAGAACAAGTACTCTACAAGGTCGATAACAGATACATCCATACGTATATATTACGAAACTTTAACTTAACTTTTAGAATTTTTTATTTGACCATAACTGATTGTACTAAGAATCACACAGCATATTAAAAAAAACCAAACCCAAAACAATAAAAAACAGTTATTTTGCACATATGCAAAAGAAGTGAAACTCTGTTCTGAAGAACACGTCTGATAATAACAGAGGTGGGTGCAAAGACTGGACGGGGAGATTCTTCCCCAGTGAGGGCAGTGCCTGAGCTCACGGACTCGGAAAGAGATGGGGCACAGCTGCAAGAACCAAGCGATTCCTAAGGAGAAACTTTGCTCTGCGGCAGCTCTTTAGTACAGCTGTTGGGATGCTGTCTCTACATCTACTTCCCAAGCAAGGACACTCATTCCACTGCTTTATTTCACTCTTCAGAACAGATGACACCTAGCGTCGCTCAAAAAACCCGCCCATCTTTCACGCACCCGGCTGCAGGTGAGCAACCCAGGTCATTGTCACAGAGCTGGGGCGCGGGCAGCGCTCACGCACAGCGCTGTCCTCCACCCTCCGGTCAGGGGGAGCCCCGGGCAGGGGGAGCCGCGGGGTCCCCGCTCGCCGGCCCCGCTCAGGCCCCAACACTGGCGCGACCCAGCCGCGACCTTTGCTCTGCCTCGGCGCAGCGCCAGCCGCCGGCCCCACCCGCCGCGCCGAGCGGCCGCCCCAGCCCAGCCCGGCCCGGCCCAGCCCAGCCTACCCCGGGCCCTGCAGCCAGCCCCGGCACGTTACCTCGGCCGGCGGACGGGCAGCGGTAGAGCAGCATCACAGCGGCCCCCGGCACTCCCCGCTCCCCGCGACCGTCCTGCGCACACCCCACCGGCCTCGGCCCCGCCGCGCCTGCGCGCCCGGCCGCGGGGCCGCCCCGTCCCGGCGGCAGGACTACAGCTCCCAGAGCCGCCCTCGGGGGCGGTGCCTGCGGCCGCTGCCAACCCATCCGCGGCCAGGGCGGGCCGTGGGCGGTGCTCGGGCGGGAGGCGCGCTCGGCGCGGGAGAGCCGAGCGGGACATGGCCGAGGCGGGGCCGCTGCCGCCCGCGGCGGTGCCCGAGGGCTCGCCCGGCGCCGAGCCCCGGAGGGTCCGCGGCGGGAGCGAGGGGTCGGGACCGTCGGAGCTGCCCGGCGGCGACACGCGGGAGCTGCTGGAGGAGGTGGAGATGCAGATCGGCGACGTGAGTGCGGCGCGCCGCTCTCGGGCGGGCTCCGGGGCCCCCTCGGGGACCGTGCCGGGCGCCGGCGACCCCCAACCTCTCTGCCGTCCCTCCAGGCCGCCTTCTCCCTGGCGAAGATCCTGGAGGCGACCTCGGCCGTGTCGGCCCAGGTGGAGGAGCTGGCCACCAAGTGCTCGGAGAACGCCCGGTTCCTCAGGACGTGGCGGGACCTGCTGAGGGAGGGCTACGAGTCCCTGAAGCCCAGCGGCTGACGCTGGCCCTGCCCGCTCGTCCCGCACTGCGGCGGGGCTCTTTTCCTCCTGTAGGGAGCTCACGTGGAGTTTTGTTTGCCCCCGGAGTTCTTTCACAAATACTTCAGGGCTCTCGTATGAATGTTTTATGTTAGTCCACCGAATAAAAAAAACTTTGTTTAGGGAATCAGTTTTGACTTTTAGATTCTTCGTTGAAGCTCAAGCGATCTTAATGCTCAGCGCTCCTTTTTTTTTCCTCTCTCTTTCGTGCTAACGTGGTAGATACAAAGTTAGTATGTGTGCTACGTTCAGAGCTCATTACTGGTGTCCTATGATAAAGAATTGTCAGCCCTCCTTCTTAAGAGCTGTCAGCAGCAGAAACCCTGCCAGCCCCAGAGAAACTTCAACTAACTTCAGTTTTTTTTATGCACACTTTTTCTTCATGTTGAGAATGGGATAATGTGGCAAGTTGTGGCTTATTTATGAGCTGTAAAAAATCCTATATCCAAAATCTTACTATTTTTAGCAGTATTTCAATGTATGACTATAAAGCTGCAGGTTTATTTTTTTGCAAGATGTTTTATTATTGCAAACAATTTTATGCTACCTTTTGTTGTAATAAAGTGCCTTATGGTGGACCATATATCTCTACAAGGTAGAAGTTTAACAGTATTAGAAGTTTAACAGTTTGCTGATAAGATAGATTATTTTGGACTATAAGTAAAAGCTTCCATTAGTTAGAAAAGAATCTGTGACAAATCCCGTCACTGGGGAAGCACTTCAGAGATTTTTCAGTATTTGGTCCTGTTTTTTATCTTTGCCTTAAGCAGTGACTAGATTGATAATAGAACCTTTTGGTCTGAAAGATGGCTGATTTGTAATAAATAGCTGTGCTGACACTCCTGTATCTTTACCAGGCACTGTGAAAAACAGTAATGCTGAGGTGCAATGGCAGGCTGCAGGAGAACATGACTCTGTCATGACTTATTAGCAGGCCTCATTTTTACTTACAGGACTTTGAGAAAGACCCACTGTAGTTTGCTTATCAAAACAATAAAGATGTTGCAAAAATTCTGAAGTATTATTGAACTATTATTGTGTTACTGATAGAAACAAAGGTGACAGTGAATATAACCATAGTCACATGTAGTGAAAAACAAGTAATGGCAAGGTCGGGGATCCTTGCATATCTCACCAAAGGCCTTCCTTGAGAGGGCTTGGCCCCTCAGAGTAAGGAAGTTCTATTGAACTGAGTTCTAATTGTCCTAGTTAAAGGCAATCCACGAGGCAAGGTTTTGCTTTTTTTAGGTTTTTTTAACCCCCACAACTCAAAATATTGCTAAACAACTTGGAAAAGAAGTAGTTTTGTTCAGCAGATAATATTTTATTTCAATAGAACATACAGTAGTGGAAACAAGATGCTTTAACAATCTTCAGTTTCAAGATAATCCAAAGTTCTGTAAACAGTTGAAGTGTGAGTCACACTTTCAAAATTCTACTTCTTATACTGTTAAGAAGTCAAGTGCAAACATTGAAAGTATCTTTTAACTTAATTTTAAATAGTTTCAAATCAATGCAAAAAAAAGCTTTTTTTTACCTTTTTGGGCTCCTAGGCCATCAGACTGAATACGGTACTGAAAGAAGAAGGGAAGTTGTAATAATTCATAATAGAAAATATTCTCTTCAGTAAGAATGTGTGAAGGAACTGCCTCTAGGGGATTTTTTATTTTACGCTTTTAATTCTGGGAAGTAAAATAATGCTTCAGAAAGTGCTGAATGGCTGTGGTCTTTAAATTACTTTAACTATAGTGCATCCATTCATGTACCAAGTGATTGAAGTGTACCTTTTAAGACTGATAAAATGAACCTTTTAAGACTGATAATTTTCTATTTTACCATCTTCCTTTTACATAGAGAGACATCTTAAGACTGGAATTTGTTGAAGTCTGCAAGCTGTGGTGAGCTACTTTTGGTAGCCTGCTAAGAAAAGTGAGGAAAAGAGCAGCAGCAGCAAGATTGCTGGGATACTCAGTCCAGTCTTTTCAGAGTAAGAAGGGGCAAACTGCCACCAGTTAAAGCTGGGGGACATTCACTTGGGAAAAAAAACCAAACCCAAACACCTCCTTTTTATTTTTTTCTTCACCACAGTTCTGGTTCTGCCTGAATTAGAATCTTTAAGATCATCTAGTCCCAGCCCCTCCCTGACATGACCAGGGACACCTCCCAGTAGACCAGGCTGATCAAGGCCTTGTACAACCTGGCGACTATATTAGAACTATCACTACAATTCCACTATTGCCTTTACATGAGTGAAATGGTCTGTACATTTGTAAAAGGAATTTCACTTGCTTGGCTTTGACAAATATAGTTAACAGATCTAATTATGAAATTTAATTGTTTTTCTTATGGCTATTGCTCCTTAAAGCTTTTTAAGTCAGAAACTTCAAGGAGAAAATATGTTTCTTAATGAGGAAACCAATTAACTCTTAAAAAAAATATCTGTTGAAATGGGAACTTAAAAAAAGAAAAAAGAAAACACACACACATACACACACACTTCCCCATAAATAAATGATTTTGAAACAATCTGCTTTCAGCGTGAGATGTTTCAAATGACAATTCATTTTTTTTCCCCCCACACTCTTGGCTTCTGGAAGAAAAAAGCCCCAAACAACTGATTCGTCATTCTGATCTAGGATGAATTGTCACAATGTCAGGTACTGCTGTGAGATGGTAAAATGCCAGTTCTACCTGCAAACAGACACATGGCTCCCTCTTCTTCTTGCAGTGGTTCACGTGAGCCCTGATGTCACACCTCCCTCATTTTCCTTGTGGCTGTAAAGCAGCAAGCCCACGGATGTGAAGCTAACAGTGCCGATGTCACCGTGAGGATTCAAAGTGTAATTACGTGTATGAATTTAATCTTGTTGACTGTGTAGTCACTGAAGCATCAGAAGAGTCTGTACACAGCACAGGCTTCGTAACCTTTGGTGTGATTTCATGTATTGGCCACATCTCTACCCAAATGAATGATGGACCGTATGGTTTCTGGTTGCCTTTACCTCTTTTGGATCTTCTTTGTCTGTAGTTGTACCAAACCTGATGAATCATTTCTTTGAAAGGTCGTGTAGTCAAAGTGTATAGAAGAGGGTTCAAAGCACTATTTATTGGCAGTATAAAAATCACCACCCAAGAAGTTATGGTACCTTAGGGAAGAAAAAAGAAAGGCAGCTGTAATATATATCCCAGTGTTTGTACTCTTTAGTTAGCATAAACATTTGATCCCAACGCAGCACGGCTTCCCGGTGAGAGGGGGAGGTCGTGCTCTTAGGCTGAGCTCCTGGCACAACAGGTGCTTTTCTTTTTCTTCTTTCTATTACACTTGCACTGCTTCTTATCTCCTGTTTCCAGTACTCCCTGCAAAAGCTGACATTTATTATTCTCCCAGTAGTTCCATTTACCCCTCATTTCTATGCCATAGCTTCCTGTTTGCCCTGGCAGACCTCTTGTTCTGGTTGAGCCCCTTTTTCTTGCCCTCAAACCTTTTGTCTCTGCTTTGCTCCTTATCTCTTCCTATGATCTCTGTTACCTATCCTCTTCCCAGGACTGATGACATGCACTCCTAATGATGCCCCTGGTGTTCTGTCCACCTGCAAAACTATCCTCCATCCCCCGTATCCCCTCAGTGCCTTCTGCACCAGGACTTCTCCATTCCTCTCCCTGTAAAACAGCAGTGTATACATCCTCCTAATTTCCCTTTTTTCCCTGTTGGTAAGAGTTTCTGTGTTCACTTTCTGTCTATGACTGTCTGTGCATCTTTACAACATCCCTTTCTCATCCTTTAGTGTTTGGGAGATCAGTTACCTGAGGGGCAGGTGGAGAAGGGATAGGATTAAAGTGCTGAAAGATGTCAGGGGGTGCCCTCCGTTGCGTCGTTTGACTTATGAAACTGTATAGAACTGTTTCAAGAGGCACACAAAACTTAATTGAACCTCTCCTTCCGGGACACCCCTCCATTCCCCACTCCAGTTTTACAACTTTGTTGCAATATCAAGACATTCCTGTTCATGCCCATCACTTTGGCTACAGTTTTGGAAACAAGCAGGTGCTTAGTTTCTAAAACTGTCACAATGTATCACTGACAAAAAGCAAGTGCTATTGAACGAGTTTTATGATTTGTGTCAATTTGAACAGCTAGCTGTCATTTCTTTAGTTTAATGAAATGAGTAATTACTGTTTAATCTGGTTCATCTATCAGAACATTATTTTGCTGAACCCAAGATCACCCTGTTATTCAGCAAAATTTTTTCAAGATTTCTTATAATACACCTGCTTCTGCTTTTCACAATATTTTCTTTCAAATATCATAGATGGCTTGATAGCTTGTTGAAGAAGAATTTAAAAATATTTAAAATAACTGAATATTTGACATAATCAGCATAACTTTCAGACATTTGAGATGCAAGCTCAAGCTTTGAAAATCTCAACTCCCAATCCTCCTGGTCAGCACATAAGGCAAAATCGTCTGAGCTAAAACATTTTCTTGCCCATGTAATATTGTGACATACATCTGTACACTGAGCCTGAATCTGCTGTTGCTGATTGTTCTGCTCATGCTCACATACCCTTTCTAACAGAGTTTACAAGCCCCACATGAAGAAGCTTTTTTTTTCTGGCATCTAATGGTATCGAAAAGAGAAGGAAAAAATTAAGGTGCAATTTTAATCTTTTAGGTTACACTATCTTTACATGGGAATATATTCACAGCATGAAGAAGATAAGCAGAGCTTTATGTAACTTAATGAGTTGAACTATAAATACCAGCTTGTAAAATAAAATTATTTCAGAATAAGATATATTATTAAATCAAGATAGAAAATACTATATGGTCCTGAGATATTTAGGCAACAGAACCAGAAAAAGTCCTAACATGAGAAAAGCCAATGCAACTCAGCCTTGATTTTCAAATATATTTTGCACACTTTATAGATATTATATGCAGACAGACTTGAATGATTTGAATTTTTGACTTTTGTATGTAAGTCAAAGGTGACTAATCTTTCATGATTATAGTAATATAGTTAAATTAAATAGCAAAAGTATATAGTTCATTATATTGTGTGTACATATATCTAGATATAGAACATGAAGTTAGCTGCAGCAATATAATTAATTTCATTAAATTATTTTTCTTCTGAGGTAGAAGAAACATTTCATGCAGGCACTGTTGATGCAGACTCATAAAAGAAAGGACATACCTGGTATTTCTACTCGAAGTAAAGAAAGGAGTTTCAAAATAAAAATAGGTATCCAACATAGTGCATCGGTAAATACAATGAAGAAAAAACGTTTAGCAAGGATCATCTCTTTTTTGATATGATTCCGAATTTCAGTAGCCATAATAGCTGTCTGGTGAACACTGTAGAACATACTCCCATAGGAAAACACAATGATGATAAAAGCTGCCAAGTTGACACCTGTTTAAAAATTAAAATTAATTATACCGTAAAAACATAATGGCAATTCTACATCACCTATTTGCAGTCTGGGTAATAAAGAAGAATATTTCATCTAAAATGCTAGTCCCATGGAATTAAGTGGTCAGAAAATCTGAGTCTGTCCTCATCTGAAGGCTGAATTTTTGCCTCTACTCAAGTATTCGTTTTATTCACTGATAACTGGCAAATGACTGCCATCTGGTTAAAACTAAATAGTTCTCTGGCCTTAATATTGCTCTATTTCCCTATTAATTCAACAACATAATGGTCAATAATTTCTTTCTGCTTTCTCAGCCCCTCATTCATTTTAAGATAAGTAGGTACACATCTTCTTCAGTAAAGTATTTATATTGGAAATAGTCTTTAAATGCTTGCTGGAGCATCTAAATCCAAGGAGGTGTGAACGTCACAGCTATCTTATTTGTTTGAAAACTTGGTTCCTTTGCAGATCGAGTAATACATAAAGAAGAAATGCAACTTACCTAAGAAAATCACAACAGAGTAAATCTGACTTCCTGAACTTTCT